CGAGTCCCCTGCAATCACCACACGCACTATCCCCGCACTCAATCGCTCCTCCTGGGAAGAAAAGCATACCACAACAACAGCGGCAACAAGGTCCAGTCACAGGGGAAGCAGGGTGGAATTTGAGGTGCCAATACAGCAGCTGGTCACAGGGAAAGCGGGTGAGTCAGCGTTAAGGAGCGAGTGGTCGGTTGGGGGGGAAGGGGAGTAGAGGGGGAGAAGGAGAACGAGGGGAAAAGGGGGTATCGGGGGCTGGCTGAGGAGGTGGAGAGGGGGGAATGCGGTGGAAAACGGCAGGAGGAAGCGAAGGGAGAAGAGGGGAAACGTGGCAAGAGATTGTGGTAAAGGGGATGATGAACACGGCTTGGGAGGTCTGGAAGGAGGACAACATGCCTACCCCCTCCCTCCCTCCCCTCTGACCTCGTCTGAGAGCACGTGGCCTGAGAGCACATCCAGCAGCATCTCCTCATGCAGCATGGCGTCCCCTCCAACCCGGCCCCACTAATCGCACCCCTCCCTCCACTCTGACCCCACATACAGTACCACCCCCTTCCACCCCCTTCCACCCCCTTCCACCCCCTTCCACCCCCACGCACCACACCACCACTGACCTCATCCGAGTGCACGTGCCCTGAGAGCAAGTCCAGAAGCATCTCCTCATGTAGCATGGCGTCTCCTCCGCCCCCCTTTGCTCCCTCTGCCGCCCGCCCCTGGGACGATGGCGGTGTGGCAGCAGGCGGTGCGGAGGGCGAGGGGGCGCCTGCTGCAGTGGTTGATGCGGTGGTGGTGGGTACGGAGAGGTGGAGACCCGATACGAAGGCCACGTAGCGTGGGGGGGGAGGGGATGCTGGTAAGGGGAGGATGGAAGGATGGAGGAAAAGGGAGAAGGGAGGGGAGAGGGGGGAGGAGTCAGGAAACAAGAGGAGGTGAGTGGAGGAGTTGGGTGAAGCAGAGGGAAGGTGAGAGTGCGGGTGAGGAAGGAGGAGGTTGGGAAAATTGAAGCACCTTACGCAGAGAAGAGGGCTCTACAGCAATGAGGGGACTTTTGAGGCGCCTCAAAAGTCGTCTCATTACCCGCAGGAGTTGGGTGGAGCAGAGGGAAGGTGAGAGTGCGGGTGAGGAAGGAGGAGGTTGGGAAAAGAGAAGCAGATCACACAGAGAAGAGGGTTATACAGCAATGAGGGGCGAGAAAAAGAGGAGGGAGGGAGGATAGGGAAGTGGAGGGAGAGAGTGGAAGAAAGAGGAGGGAGAGGAGGTGGCGAAGGGGAAGAATGTTCATTTGCTCCGAGCGCCCACAAGATACGCAGACAGTCGAATAAATCTTTGGTTCCGATGAATTGCACCACTAATCCTTGTGCAAAGCACTGTGCTGCCACGTGTCTCACCCTGGTTGGCTGCAGCGGCCATGGTGGCGGAAGCAGCAGGGAAGGTATCCTGCAACGGCATGCCCGGCTCCAGCACCTCCATTGCACGAAAGTTCCCCTTGCTGTCCTCGCAGCCCCTTGTACAAGCAGTGCGCTGTCAAGTGTCTCACCCTGGTTGGCAGCAGCAGCAGCAGAAGCAGCAGGGAAGGTATCCTGTAGCGGCATGCCCGGCTCCAGCACCTCCATTGCACGAAAGTTCCCCTTGCTGTCCTCGCAGCCCCGCACTGCCACCACCACGCCTGTTGATGTTACGGTGGGAGAGGGGAGAGAGGTGAGAGGGATGAGAGAGGCGAGGGAGAGGTGAGAGGGTGAGAAAGGTGAGAGAGTGAGAGAGGGGTGAGAAGGGTGGGTTGGGAGGGGGTGTGAGGGGTGGGAGGGTTGGGAGGGGTGGGAGGGGGGTGAAAAGGGTGGGAGGGGGGTGAAAAGGGTGGGAGGTGGGTGAAAAGGGTGGGAGGGGTGGGACATGTGAGACATATGTGATGTGATGTGATGTGATGTGATGTGATGTGATGTGATGTGATGTGATGTGATGTGATGTGATGTGATGGGATGGCTGGCTATGTGCCACATAGCAGCAACTTCAACCTCCACCCACAGCACCACTCTACGCCCCACAGCACCAACCCCCACCCCACAGCAACACCCACAGCACCACCAGTGGCACCTGTGACCCAGGCAGAGGGCGGGAAGGCCTCCCCAACGAGCTTGCACCAATCCGCACCCTACAGCACCACCTTCCACCGCACAGCACCTGTGACCCAGGCAGCGGGCAAGAAGGCGTCCCCAACGAGCTTGACGCGCCCCCTCTCGTCCTCCAGTACCGTGCTGTCGTCCTCCCCCACCAAGCTGCCGCCCCCCACCGCCACCAGTGGCGCACTCGAGCGCTGTTAGGCAGGCACGAGGGTGCAGGGGCGGAGGGGGGAGTGGAGAAACGAGAGAGAGGGGACGAGAGGGGAAGATAAGGAAAGAGGAGAAGGGGAAGAGAGAAGGGAAGAGAGCGGGGAAGAGGAATGAGATGAGGGAGGGAGAGGTGACGGTGACGAGGGAAATAGAGGGGAAGAGAGAGGAGAAAGGAGAGAAAAGGAGAGAGCGGAAATGAATAAGCGGAGAGGAGAAAAGGAGAGGGGAAAAGTTGGAAAGGCGATAAAGAAGGGAGGTCAAGACGATACGACGATAGTGGAACAGCAACGGTGGTTGAGCGACTGACCTCGCGGCCGTAGTCTTGCAGTATGCTGGGCTTGAGCTTCATGTGCTTGTAGAGAGTGGCCACTTTTGAGTCGACTCAAAAGTCACCTAGTGCGTGACGGACTGACCTCGCGACCGTAGTCCTGCAGTATGCTGGGCTTGAGCCTATTTTTGAGTCGACTCAAAAACTGACCTCTCGGCCGTAGTCCTGCAGTATGCTGGGCTTGAGCTTCATGTGCTTGTAGAGAGTGCCCACCACCACACACTCGCCCTTGTCCGCTAGATCCAACACACTGCTCACTGCACAGCGTGTGATGTGATTGCATCGCAAGGGGTACAGCAACACATGCAACCCCTCCATCACACATACCGACCAAACAAGACCGTGTAGGGATGCAGAGGAGAAGAGGGGGAGGGAGAGAGGAATAATAGGACTTTGGAGAACTGGCCTTATATTCACACCTCTCACAGTGTAAGGGAACGAAAAGAGAGCGAAAACGTGTGCCCCTCAGCCACGTGGCAGGCAGGCAGCAGGCTGACCAAAGCGCACCTGGCAGGTGGGGCCATTTCTGGCGCGCTGCTGCGAGGAGGACGGGTCGCAGCGTGGCGAGGCGGGAGAAATAGAGCGACGCGAACTGCTGACTGCGGTATCTGTGCTGCGTGATAATAAAGGGGGCATCATCCTGCGTACGGACACACACGCACACGTTCGGGCAAACTTTTTAACCCCCAAAACTGAATCAAGGTCAAAGACCTGTATAACACTGTTGACGAGACGCGACGGGCGATGACACGAGAGACTCGCACCTGACAGCTGTACTCTGCTGTAGCACGTTGTCGTCTGTAGGCATCACCACCAGGGACAGACGTGGGCCCTGTGCTAGGCGCTGGGGATGGCATGCTGGTGCGAGCCTAATACTAAGACCACGGGAAACTGGGAAAACGCGAAATTGAACCAGCGAGGGTGGATGAACGAAAGGAAAGCGGATCAAAGGGGTGACCAAAATGGAAGCTTGAAGCTTGCTCCTAGTGATGAGAAGAGCTGTGGGGGGAGATTGTGAAAGGATTCAAAATGGCCAAGCTTGTACTAGCTGGCTCGATACAGTGCATGAGCGTACTTTTATTGCCTCTTCGTAAACGTACGCTTTGACATGCAATTTAACAAAGCCCTGAACCCTGGAAATGTAGCTATTTTGTTTTTAATTCATTATGAATGTGAACTATTCTGGCTTAGATCTCTCAGCAGATGAGTGGTTTTAATTTCCAATTGAGTTATAGTTTCTGGTCGGTAACAATGCTGTCTTCACTAACACTTTTTTTGTTGAAGGATGTAAATACACTATAACTGCGTATACATCCACAGTCGTAACTCGCTTCACGAACACTGTCGAAATTGCGAATCTATGTTTTCTTGCAACACCGAGTACAATCAGCCTTGTTTCCGTTTGATGTTTCCCGCCCCATTTTCAAATGGGTCGCAGCGCGCTTCTCTGCTGTGACACCGTCAATCAGCTCTGCCCGCCTGACACCTCCCTCCTGAAGCAAATCCCTCGTCCGTCCTCCTCCATTCCTTCCTCGCCCTTCCTTTCCCACTCCTAGCAAACACCATAGCCCCCACCGTCACTCCTCCTCAGCCAAGCAGATCATTCCGGCAATCATCCAGAAGACAAGAATCTGTAGTTTTCATTCCTGAGCTACTTGGTTATCTTGCTTTTGTACTTTCAGGGAAGCCAGAGACGATCAATCAGGTCGAGGGAGACAACCTTAGAGTCACGTGTTCGAAAGGCTTATCTTTTGTATTGACCAGCTTTACTTTACCTTCATTGCTCGCGTTGGACCATCATACTTACATCATATTCAGGCGCTCCGGAACCTGTCAGGTTGTCCGTCACTAGACACTGTCATACATGAGCTGAAACATTTTACGTAGCAGACGTAGCACCGCTATCCACGCATCCAGGTTGCAGTGGGTTCCACGACAGTTCCTAAGCCCTTCGCTCTTTGGATTACGTTAACCGATGGCTGCACTTAGGACGTTTCAGAGAGAAAACATTGTTGGTGATGAGAATGCTTGGACACCGTACCATGGCGCAAGTAACAAAGGAGCTGCTGTCGAGAGAACGCCTCGTCATGCTGGAGGTGAGTTTTCCCTTTGCTTTCTGTCTCCGATGTTCTGAGGTGAGGCGACTTTGCTGTCTACTGTATAATATTTTTGGAAGACTTTGACCTTCACATAACGTCGAAAGCCTAACGTCCTGCTGTTTGTTTTCAGGATTCGGAGTCGGCGCAAAGGATCGCATGGTTGCTCCTGGGAGTTCCGTCCGTGCCTTCGGCACAGAGATACGGAACAACTTAAACTCTAACCGCGTTGTTCCGAGCACGCCAGTTTCCAAGATGTTCGTTGCCCCTCTAACCACGGTTAAGGGAAGCAGGTCGGCTCTGCGGGACGTCACCAACGAGAACGATCCGGCGACTCAGATGAAGCCAGCTGCCAAGCGCAGATTCGGAGACGCCCTGACGAACACCATCCAGAAGCCGATTTCGGACAGCCTGAATGCTAACACCACCCAGAAGGCCAAGACCATCCAGAAGGCTCAACCGTCCATAAACCGTCGACTTAAGCTGGAAGAGGAGATTCGGGAAAAGGATTTGTTCGGGTCGGCTCTGAAGGGAGGCCAGAACACGCAGGCCAACGGAGTTCCTGATGTCATAATGCCGCTGCCTTTTACGCAAGTCGAGAAGATTAGCTCAGCAGTTCAGGATCTCGCGATTGAGAAGGACACCAAGGGGAAGACTGAGCAGGAGTTGATCGCGCTGAACGACATAGATGCACTGGCGGAGCTTTATGCAGCCGATGGGGTGGAGAGGATGCCGATGGATGGTGATAGCTACGAGGCAGCCGTGAAGGCTCAGGCTGATGAAGGTAAGTGTTTGCGTAGCTCAAATGATACTTTAGAAGCTTACATTTTCAATTCGTCTAACAGGGATGTTTTTGTTGTCTTGCAGAAATTCGTCAGCGCATTGAGATGATTCGGTCCATCCGCGTGGAGCCTCCATGCCTTTATGGCTTCTCCAAGCAACATAAGGTACATATTCTACCTCATAGCCTCGATCTTGTTGACTTTAATAGTAAGAAAGAAACGCCTACGTCAGCTTGAATCCATGTGAGCTTGTGAACTGACCCCGTAACTGCGTTTCTAATGTGCAGGATCCAGACACGATACCCCTTATGGACGACCCCCCCATGCCATCACCTCCTGGAGGTAGGTCACGTTATTACAGATTTTGCAACAAGTGTTAGTTTCATTGGCTCAGTCTCTTTCGAGGTGGTTGTTTTGATGCTAACCTCCACGTCTCTTGCATGTTGCAGGCAATCTTCCATCTCTGTCTCTGCTGGACGGTGATGACTATATGGATGACCTGGTGGGAAGCTTCCCAGGCGTGGACGACCTGGATGTGGGATGGAGCGCACTGGAGTGAGGATGAGGGGATCTGGGGGTTGGTGTTACCAAGCAGCTAAGGAACCACTGGTTAATAAGGTGCTATGTTATGCTCAGAGGGTCATTCATCATGACCCCTTGTGACGATATGGCCACCATCTTGATTGGTTCTTGTAGATATTGGCAATAATCCATTCTTATTCCTAAATAAAGTCAGTAGATTGTAGATGTCCTGATGCTCATGAGGCACATGAAAGCATACCTACTATCACTCTATACAACATGGCCTCCAACAGTCAACACACAGTACTTAAGCACCAGCAACTGACTACTACCTTTCGAAACGATAACGCCTGTCCTTCTCCTCAATCGGGTAGTCTGAAATTGGCAAGACGGATGCACAGCAACAGTTCCCAAAAAACGAATGATATGCAGGATCATGGCATACGGTAAGAGGGGGGGAAAGAAGGTACACACACAGTACTGGAAACCGAATGGAATACAAGTCAAGGAGTGAATCATGCAGGAAAACAGCTCGGCAAAGAAATTTGAGTATCTGACCATTGGCGGACATGTCTCTGCGTTGCATCAAGCCCTCGGCTGTGAACTCCCATAGCTGTAGCAGCAAAAGACCACAGATACTCATGCATACATCCCACACACGCATGCATGGATAACCGCACGTGCATGCACATACCCGCCCACATGGAAAGAAGATTAGTACGGCAGGTGAGGAAACAACACCAAAGAACCTATCCTGCAACCAGGCCTTCATTTCATCCCCTCTCATCCATCCACACATCCATCCATCCACCCCAGTTTTTCAATCTATTCACCTCGTTTCCATGCGTGCGCCACCACTGCCCCGTGGTGTCATGCCACTCATATTCGAATCGCACTGCAATGCGGTTCTCAGTGAAGCACCTGGGAAAGGAGGGTTGGGGCAGGCAGCAAGTGGATGTGTGGGTGTGTTGGTTGCTTGTGTGGAGGTTGGCCCATGACGATCTGGTGCAACTCGCAGCAGTAAATCTTACGAAAGTCAAGAGTGGGTTTCAAAGGGGATTGATATGGCCGGCTCCATTCTCTCCCTTCCATGCAACAGGGGAGAGGGGAACGAATGCAAGGGGGGAAGAGGAGCCATACCTATATCTGCCAATTCCCTTTCTTCCCCACCCTCTCCATCATTTCTATCACTGCTTCCCTGTCCCCTGACCTTTCCTTCTGACCTTTCTATTTCTTTTCTATTTCTTACACCTCTTAATTTGAAATCCCCCCGGCACCCCCCCTTTGAATCTTCTCATCACCCGCCCTGCCCCACCATAGTTCTTTCATTAAACGATAGTCCAGCTCCTTGCTCCACTTGCGTCGGAGAAACGCTTTAATCTCTTCTCGCCCGCTGAAGAACTCGCAGCGGTTGCGCCACTGCGAGTCGGGCGTGTAGGCCAGTGCCACGCGCTCGGGGTCGCGGCTGTTCCACGCTGCCTCCGCGAACTGCGGGGAAGGGGGTAGGGCGGAAGGTCGAACGTGGAGAACGGGGTTGGACACGCACGGGGAACGGGGAATGGGGTACCGACATCGGCAGGGGAGAGAAAGGAAGTCGGAAGTTGGTCGGGAAGACGAGGGAGGGAGGAGAGATGAACGGCCCTAGATTCGCACGGTATCGCGTAAGGGATCGAACGAACCTTGACTTTAGCAAGAGCCGTTTCTTCCGTGAAAGGAGGAACCAGACGCGGCGGAGGCGCTGAACTGCCAGTGGCGGCCGCCCCTGCTAGGGACCGTGCGGCCTGCGCAGTGAAAACGGTCGGACGGCATGCTTCTAACCCAAGGGCGTGCCTATGGTCTTGGAAAAGGAAATTAGCGCGACGAAGAGATGAGATTAAAAGCCGGCCCTGGGGCGGCATGGCTGAAACAGGATAGGTCTGCAACGAGAATTGTCGATCGAGATGGCAAGAGAGTGTCGGGTGAATCGTGCCGATAAATCAAGTCAAGCCGAGCAATTTCCTCATAAGCAATCCCTAGGTGCATCCAAGGTGAGGGAGTTCAAGGTGGCGTGGAGTCCTACCGTAAGTTACATGAAAGCAATGTGAAGGAATAATGCTTTATTTGAACGTATACTACAGATCCGTACCAGGGCTGACGTTTCAAAAAAACCCACTCTGAGGCAGGGGAGAAAAAGATTTCGTTTAGTCTGAGGGTCATTTCCCAAGTTCTGAGTACTCTGAAATGTCAGGTTTGAAAAAATCATTCGTCTGAAAAGTTTTAAGTTTGTAAAACCGCATCCGAGTTGGTGAATAGCGAATATCTGTCAAGCGAGTTTGGCCTAGGGAAAACGTTGCGGAGTTGGCGAGAAGCAGGAGTAAGAGGGGGCGGGGGAAGGGGGAGGGGGGAGGGGGGCAGGGGGGGAATTGAATGTAATTCGAGAGAGGGGGAGGGGGGAGGACTGAAATTCGGCAAATTCAGGGGCCATACTCCCTGTAGTCTCGAGTCTCAGTATCGCACAATGAAGTACTCTGAAATTTTCAGAGTTGAAAAACTAACAGGTCTGAGACCTTCTTAGTTCAGAATACAGGAATACTGAAATTTCAGGAAAGGCGAAAAAAAGAGTCTGACATTTCAGACAATCAGACTAAAATAGTCTGATAAAATCAGCCCTGATCCGTACACAAAATCACGTATACTCTTTGTTAAGAACTGGATGCATGCATGCCCTTCCAGTACGGTAAGTTCAAAGGTCTTGATAAACCACCAACTTGCTTCAGACATACCGTACCGTACCTAGGAGCTTACCTTGAGAGGGGTAACAAATGTGAAACTAATCACTATCTTCAAAATAATTGCTGGTCCTCCTCTGCGTATCTTCTGGTTCAAGAACCTTCTGTCTTCTTGACTGTGCCACCTGAAGAGAGTGGGGAGGTTGAGGGAGACTGCGAAGCAGGATGCCAGTTTATCCACCTCCAAAACATTTCAATATGAGCCATTATACCTGGATGGCGCTCTGCATCATTGTTCTTGGCAGTGCCCTTGCTAGGGGTCTTGGGGTTCGCCTTCTCCGAAGCAGGTGTAGTTTCTGGCTTCACAGCAGCTGCCCATTTTGAAACAGCAGGTTTTGGCTTGTAGGACGCTTCAAGATCAGAATGTGATAACTCTGATGCACTGTGCTCTGCATCACGCTGTTGGGTGGGCACAGCTGCTGCTGGAAGGTCTGACTCAGTAGCCTGCTTCCCCTTCCGTTGTCCTTTACGTGTCCTCTGCCGTTTCCCATCTTGGTCATCCTTCCCTGTCCTCTTTGAACTCTTCTTGCCGGACTGCTTCTGCTGCTTTCGACTCCTCTTGGACTCCTTCCTCCTGTTTGTAGCCTCTGAATCGGCATCACTGTCACTTGAAGATTCCACAACACTGCTATTGCCTTCCTCGCCTTCATCTTCTGAAAGATGGACTTCAATAAAGTCACTGTCATCTTCGTCTTCTTCTGAAGACTCTCGGCGTTTCTTCTGTTGCTTTTTAGGCTTCGTACGATGCCGCTTTCCACCAGAACTTTGACTACTCGAACGACGACGCATGTAAACAAAACTTTGCAATGCAGACTCGTCAGCTTCCAAACTGTTCACCTGCTGATAGGCACAGAAACAGCTGATGCAAAGTAATAAACCCTAGAAGATACAGCCATGCATTTGACAGTGTTGACAGGCTCACCTTCATGCCCCAATTGTTCCAATTGCTGTAAAGTGTCAGAATTGAGGCGAACAGGTTGTAGAGGAGACAAACTGACAATATAATGGCAGCCACCTGCGATGGAGGAAGACACGGTGTAAAAAGGAACCGACAAGTATCTCAACTAGGCATGATGGTAAGAAACGTACCCCAATCAGCACCATATGGTTGCCAACAATAGCATACGCTTCTTCCTTGCTAATGTGCGCCACCTGTAACACCAATCGTTACACACTGATTAGTGGACAGCACAAAACATGACATAGCAATAGTGCAGCATTTAATTCATATATACCTTCGTTGTGACCAGATCCCAGTGAGACTGTATGTATGCATCCGCTTGGGATTGCAGAACAAAGCATAATATTGTTCCAATAAAAAGAAGAAGACACAGAACCTGAACCAAACGAGAGAAAAGTCAGACACGGAAACGTGATGGCTTAAAAAACATAGCTGGATTTACTCACAGCAAGAAGGAACGAGTGCAAGACAAGCAGGAACCTGCTGTTGTTTGCCAGGCCGAAATAACCAACAACGGAAAGTAGAACAGTGAAGGCGCCCACGATAGCTACAATAATGGCAGCATAGGCTCCCCTGCATTGGACGGGGAGTCATTGTTTAGCAATACTTACTTGCTACGCACCCACGGAAGTACTTCAGTAAGAAACTTACGCAATGTGGGCTTGGGATGTAACAATGGATAGATACAGAATAAATGCTCCAAACACCATGGTGAGAATATTCATGCTCATCGCCATTTGCTTTGCAGCATATTCTGAAAGAAGAAGGACAAGCATGAACAAACATAATCACAAGAAGCCGGACGAAAAATCAAACACAATATGAAAGCATGCACTCACCATGTCCCATTAACGTTGATGAAATCCAGAGGCCAAGAACGAGCAAGACGGAGGACAAAACTGAGAGAACACCTCCTTCAATCAAAGCTCGATGTGTCTGCAAGGCGTATTCACGAAAGTCACGCATTTCCTTCAAAGATAAAGAGAGGGATAAAAAAAAAAGATAAAGAGAAAAAAAGACCGTATACCTTCGCGAGCAACATTTGGTCCACTGCTGATTGTGCTGTTGTGCTGACGTACGTTTCCAATATCTCGGAATACATCCTCTGCGAAAATCCAACACCAAGGACAGGGTGGTGAGGAAATCCAAGTGGAGGCTCAACAACACCAGCTCCATTGATCAAACGTACCTCGTCAGCTGCGAAGATGAAGCAGAAGCAACCAAGATAGATCAAAATCGCTACCATGACAAATGAGGGAGCATAGTACCTGCAGAAGGAAGGAGGGTTATAGCTTGGGTGGGGGGTAAAAATTGAAGTACCAGGTCCATCAACACCAAGCCTTACCCGAATAAAACTTGAGGATTCGTTGTAACAGCTCCAACAACGCCAGTCACACTAATCGCAATAAGGAGGGAACCGATAACTATCTGCACTCGTTATGTCATGGCTCGTATGCTTTTGTAAAGAAGAATGTCAGCAGTCGATGTTAGGAACTCAGACTTACCAGAGAAATGAATGGATCGCCGAGCATCCATGCTCCTAAATCCTTCCGGGCGGACTCCAAACGGCCAGGCGCATTATTCTCATCCACGTCATTGACACTGCAGGAGAGCATAGAGTCAACAGATAACTATACTACAGATTCAAACTGTTTTTCTTGCGTAACGATAGAAACCTGCTAGGCTGGGCTTCTGTGACGACGCTGCTTGTGTTGTTCTGTCCCAAGTCACTGTTGCGATCCAGCACACTCTTCAGGTTCCGTCTGCCTTGAACCCCGGCACAAATCAGCGCAATGCTGAACGATAAAAGAGCCAAGTTGAGAAGAACAAGCATGGTTCGCCTTTTCAGCCTGCGAAAGTCGTTGGGTCATTAGTCGTGAAACCACTTCCGAAAGACAAAGTATACTGTCTTACTTCATCCGCCTCTCCTCTGGATTTTCAGGCTTGACAGCCATGCGAGCAAGATCGCGGATTTTCTTGAGCTTCTTCATTGAGGCCTTCTTTGCTTTGGCAAACATCTTCGCCATGATGCAACGCTTGTTACGCTGGGAACGATCAACTTGAATGTGCGATCAGAGAATGAGGCCACCATGCATTTCAATCATCAATAGGTGGAGGATACGGAGATGTTCCCCTTCACCAGCGATGTTATTGATGTTATGTGCTGACAAGGAGCCCAGTTCAGTGCTTGAAAGTGGTTGGCGTATGTCAGTCAATCGACACATTCGCGTCAGCATGTGTAACATATCGGCTCTCCATTCAGCCCTCTTCGCAAATGTCAACCCACAGCCTAATTCATCAATAGAACAGTTACCAAATTATTAGGAAACTTTGCTTCTCATTATACATATATAATAGCTAGTTCTTCGTATCACACATGTACATGTATTTTTACCAAATATCATTTATGCCATATCGTGGAAATTTATAGTTGTTGCGGTAAATAAAGATAATAATTTCAGCACAGCTCGTTATGATCATATATATATATCAAACATGCATATATTTTCTTGTTGAATATATATATATATATCATAAAAGAATACTTGTTTCGCATCAGGTATATATCATAGTGTGGTAGGCTTTTCCATGCCCTTATAAATGATGCCATGCGTCGGATTTTACTACAATGTCTATGCCAAGAAGGTGTGTATGACTTACAAGATCAACAACATACAAATTGTGTTCTTCTGAGTGGGCAGTATAGTTTGGAAAACGATATAGAGGTGAACCAGTAGTATAGTGTTCTTATTGAATCTCCCATCAAGGAGCACTTTCGGGTGACCAAATTCAGTTCTGGATTCAAAATTCCTCCCATCCACAGCCTCGGCTACCTCGCTACGGAACAACGCTCGTGGTCGTTCTCAGCCTATATCCGCTTGTGACGGCGAAACACCACGCAATCTAGGTTTCTCTCACGCCGACGGTACAACAACGCTTTAAGGTCTTGACGAAGAGAGAGCATTGGGGATGGCGACGACAGCGGAAGGAAAGATGGCCATTCAGGTAGAATGTTTTTTCCTCTCGGTTCTCTCATTGTGGATCTTCTTCTTTCGGTTGCGTACGTCCAACGTTCGGCTCCTGTTGTTTGAACCAGCTTACCGCTTTGGTTACCGCAGTTGGCTTGTGCCGAGAACTTCCTCAGAACAACCACGGATGGTTAGATCGGCGGGAACGGTTGCTGGCGAACGCCGTTACACTGGCACTGATTCTTCATTTGAAGCCTCCCCATTGGTTTCCTAGGACGGATTCAGTGTGGACTCAACACTCACCCGCATCCCCGATTCGCACACTACAAAACGGTCATGCGTGCGATCTGATACTGCATGTACGCGTGCGTCCTATGCATTACCTTGTTCGGCTGTGCGATTGCGAAAGCCACCCATGATCTACAAGACGCAGGTCGATTCTTCGTAGTCGCGACTGCGGTTCTTCCTCCGCCGTCTCGTTTCCTCTCTCCCCTCTTCCCTCTCTCCCCTCTCTCCCCTCTCGCCTCCTCTCTCCCCTCTCTCCTCTCTCGTATCCCCTCCCCCCCTCTCTCCCCGCCCTCTCCCGCTCACCACAATCCGGGCCCTAGTTTCTTTCCTGCCTTGTGAGGCTGCTGGTGTCGTCTCTGCTCTACTCATTGTTTCTATCATTGTTTGTACTTGTCCTTAAGTCAAAGGCACGCTCTATTCTGCCTCTCTCCTGGGGGAATCACAGAGCACCCGTTTTTCCTAAACTAGTCAACTTCACCCATGTGCCTCCCTCCTCAGTGCTCGTGGTGGGAACGAAGGCGTTAAACAGAGGAAGAAGCAGTGTAAAGAGGCGTTTTGTGAATCGCCAAAAAAAATCGCTCCATCCCCACATGCCTGTCTGTGTGAGAGCAGAAGGCGAAGGTGTTCATGGTGGGAGCGGGGGGGATTGGATGCGAGCTGTTGAAGACCCTTGTCATGACTGGCTTCCATGACATCGAATTGGTACTTGCCGCTGTTTTGTTTTGTTTGTTTGTTTGTTTGTTTCTTTCTTTCTTTCTTGTCTTTTCTTTTCTTTTGTGTATTAGTACTTCATTCTTGGTGTATTTGTTTTGTGTCACAAATTAGTAATGTACGATTCATGATTCTTCTGCAATTTTCTCCTCCTTCCCTTCACCCCATAACCTTCTCACACCCCACACTGCTGGTTGGTACCCCGCTGCTTGTCGTCGTCCCTCCCCCCTCCTGCTTGCCTTTTCGACTGTCAGATTGACCTGGACACCATCGACGTCAGCAATCTGAACCGCCAGTTTCTCTTCCGCAAGCGCCACGTGGGGCAATCCAAGGCCAAGGTACGGCTTTCAAGCGCCACGTGGGGCAATCCGGGAATACTTTTGAAACTTCTCAGAAAGCGTGGTGGGGATTAGCACGACAGTTATCAGGGATTATGAGAAGAGATGGGGCCAGCAGGCAGTGAAGAGACTCGGAGAGCACTGGGGAGATGTGGGAGGTGGTGAGATCGGTCAGTGGAGTTGCCTGGCATGGTGTGACATAGCATGGAGTAGTAACGCCCTGTACATTGACATGAGCTCGTGGTACTTATGCTTCTGCCATGATGTGTCACTATGGTGGTTGTGTTACTGTGGTTTGACGTCTCCTTCTCCCCCCCTTCCTCTATTCTCCTCCTCCTCCTGCCCTCCGCTTGTCTTTCTCCCGCGCCCCCATCCCCCCGACCCGCCACCTCTCTGCTCTCTAGGTCGCTCGGGAAGCAGCAATGGCGCTATGCCCATCCGCGTCTATCATAGCGCATCACGGCAGCGTGCTGCAGCCGGACTTTGACGTGTCCTTCTTCTCACGCTTCTCCCTCGTCCTCAACGCCCTGGACAACCTCCCGGCCCGCCGCCACGTCAACCGCATGTGCCTCGCTGCCGGCGTGCCTCTCATTGACAGCGGCACCACGGGGTTCCTCGGCCAGGTGGGTTGGGTGGGACGAGAAGAGGGAATGTGGGGGATGGGTGGGGCTGGGTTAGGGAGAACCATGGTGCACTGCAGGGCAGCACGGGCCGCACGGGACAACATGGGCAGCATGGGGCAGCCCAGAACCATGTGAAGGGTTTTTCAGGGAAAAGGTTGGATAGGTGACAGGAGGGAGAAAGGGGAATTGCCTGATGGGGCATGGACAAATGAGTGTCTTCTTCGTCAAGATTGTGATCAAGTGTCCTTATTTCGGCATGCTGCAGCACTTTCTAGCATTGCTTTTCAATATACCCTTTCCCTCCACTCTCGTTCCCTCTCTCAAACGGTCCTTTGTATTATATCAGCCATGGGTACATGCAAGCGGGCAAAGCCAGAGGCAGATAGCTGCAAAATAGCTACAACAATCCCTGTTCTATCCCCTACAGCCTCTCTCTCCCTCCCTGGCGCACATTGAAACTTTCCGTCTTGTGCTCTCGCCTCGCACTCCTCGTTTCTGCCCTTGCTTTCTTCCAGGTGACAGTGCATGTGAAGGGCGTGAGTCAGTGCTATGAGTGCACGCCCAAGCAGGCACCCAAGTCCTACCCCACATGCACCATCACCAACACTCCTTCCAAGGCAAGCCCTCAGCTCATGCTCACGCTCTCCCACACTCGTTTCAGATTCAGATATGTATAAACGTTCACGTGCACAGCATCGCAGCATGTTTCATTCACAAACCATTCTCAGTAAAGTCACTGTTACATGAATAATCTTCTCTGAATTTTCGGCTCCTACTCCTCTGTGGCTTTCTCTTCCCTCCCTCCCTATATACCCCATGCACATCAGCCGGTGCACTGCATTGTGTGGGCCAAGGAGCTCCCATTTGTTGCTCTCTTTGGTCCCCGGGGTCAAGCAACGGACCTCCACGCCCAACCTTCCACCGCTGCTGCCACCACCACCACTTCCTCTGCTCCTCCAGCTGCTGCTGGTGATACCGCCGCTGATGGCCCCACAACCACAGGCGCTGCTGCTGATGCTGATGCTGCTGCTGGTGCCTCTGCACCCGTTGCGTCTCAAATGGAGAACGGTGTAAGCAGCACTGTGGAAGAGAGTGAGGAAGAGAGGAGGAAGAAGAAGCAGGAAGAGGAGGCAGCCGCAGCAGCCGCGGAGAAGGAAGAGCGGGAGTTCTTCACTCGGAGGGAAGGGGAGAGCGGGCGTGCGTTTGCGTGCCGCGTGTTTGACCGGATATTCGGGGAGAACGTGGCAAGGACTCTGAAGATGGACGATATGTGGAAGCACAGGGCTCGACCCACACCATTGTACCTGAAGGATGCGTTTCCTGAAGGGTTGGAGGAGAGCGAGGCGGCGAAAGAAGGGAAGGAAGGGAAGGAGGGGAAGCGGGTGTCGGCAATGGCGAGGCTGGGGTGGAGGGACGTGCAGAAGGTGTGGAGTGTGCAGGAGAATGCGCGGGTGTTTCTCAAGGCCGTTGAGCTGTTTGTGGAGGAGCGCGCAGAGGTGAGGCAGGGGTGAGGCATGGTTGTCCAGAAGATGGAGGGATGTGCAGAAGGTGTGCAGAAGGTGTGCAGAAGGTGTGGAGTGTGCAGGAGAATGCGCGGGTGTTTCTCAAGGCCGTTGAGCTGTTTGTGGAGGAACGCGCAGAGGTGAGGCAGGGGTGAGGCATGGTTGCCCAGAAGATGGAGGGATGTGCAGAAGGTGTGCAGAAGGTGTGCAGAAGGTGTGGAGTGTGCAGGAGAATGCGCGGGTATTCCTCAAGGCTGTTGAGCTATTTGTGGAGGAACACACAGAGGTGCGGCAGGGGTGAGGGATGGTCACACGGGCATCGGGGGGAACATTGAGTTTTGTCTGATTCGAGATGTCTCTCAACTCTCTCTTCTTTCCTCCAACCCGCCATTCCCCTCGACACCCCTTCCTCTCTCTCAACCGCCCCAACCCCCCACCCGCCAGGAGCTAGGCGCTCTGACCTTTGACAGGGACGACTAGTTGGCAGTGGAGTTTGTGACAGCCGCTGCCAACCTGCAAGAGGCTTTGCAGGGGGACACAACCTAACGCTACGACACCCCTCCCACCCGCCAGGAGCCGGGCGCTCTGACATTCGACAAGGACGACGAGCTAGCAGTGGAGTTCGTGACAGCCGCTGCCAACCTGCGCATGCACACGTTCGGTATCCCCCTGCACAGCCTCTTTGCCAGCAAGGACATAGCGGGGGACACTGAGCTTCGTTCCGAGATGTCTCAAAAATCTCTCTCTTCCTTCCACCCACCCCGCCTCTCCCCTCCACCCACCCCTCTACCACCAAAAACCCCTACAACACTGCTCTCGCCAGGAGCTGGGTTCTCTCACATTCGACAAGGACGACGAGCTAGCAGTGGAGTTCGTGACAGCCGCTGCCAACCTGCGCATGCACTCCTTCGGCATCCCCCTGCACAGCCTCTTTGCCGCCAAGGGCATTGCCGGTAACATCGTGCATGCAGTGGCGACCACGAACGCCATTGTGGCTGGGCTCGTGGTGCTGCAGGCTGTGCGGTTGCTGGAAGAGGAGAGCTACCGCAACGAGCCACGGTGAGACGAGAAGGGGAGAGAGAGGAAGTTTGGGGGGGGATGGGGAAGAAGGGAGGGACTGAAAGCGGGGAGAGGGGGATGCGAAGAGAGGAGAGATGGGGGTTGAGAAGAGAGGGAGGGAAGGGGGTTGGGGCCAAGGGCATTGCGGGGAACATCGTGCATGCAGTGGCGACCACGAACGCCATTGTGGCTGGGCTCGTGGTGCTGCAGGCTGTGCGGTTGCTGGAGAAGGAGAGCTACCGCAAGGAGCCACGGTGAGACGAGAAGGGAGGAGAGAGAGGAAGTTTTGGGGGGGTGGGGAAGAAGGGAGGGACTGAAATCGGGGAGAGGGGGATGCAGAGAGAGGAGAGATGGGGGGTGAGAAGAGAGGGAGGGAAGGGGGTTGGGGGAAAGGGCATCGCGGGGAACATCGTGCATGCAGTAGCGACCACGAACGCCATTGTGGCTGGGCTCGTGGTGCTGCAGGCTGTAAGGTTGCTGGAAGAAGAGAGCTACCGCAAGGAGCCGCGGTGAGACAGAGGGAGGGAAAAGGGGGAGAGGTGCAGGGACGGGGGCAGAGTTGAGGAGTTGGGGAGTTGAAGGTAGGAAGTGGGAAAGGGTTGTGCAGGCTGTGTGGCTGCTGGAGGAGGAGAGGATTGCTACTGCAAGGAGCCATGGTGAGACTGTGAGACAGAAATGGTGATGGGAAAAGGGGAATCATTTGGGGAGTAAGCGTGGGAATTTTCTTCTTGGGTTCAATGAATCCATCCCTTTGTTTCCCTTTCCTCCTTTCCCTCCCTCCCTTCTCTCCCTTCCCTCCGTCATCTCGCCTCGCTTCCTCACCCTCCTCCCCTTACCCCCCACTATACCCTGCCACTCCCTTCTCACTCACACCCTCCTCATGCAACCAATTTGGCTTTTTATAGCTCTTACAAACTCGCAATACAACATCTTCCTTTGTCACAACTCCCCTTCCCCCTCCTTTTCACCTCCCTTCCCTTCCCCTCCCCTTCTCTTCCCTCTCCTCATCCTCGTTCGCCCTCTCCTCCCCCCTCTCCTCCCCTCCTGTCTCCCCGCCCATGCGCCACCAGCATGGTGTGGTGCACGGAGTTCCCCAGTCAGCGCAAGGCCCTCCTCGCCCCTTTCCTCGCCCTCCTTTTCTTCTCACATGTTTTCCCCCATCTCCCCTCTTTCTGTCTCCCCGCCCATGCGCCACCAGCATGGTGTGGTGCACAGAGTTCCCCAGTCAGCGCAAGGCCCTCCTCGCCCCTCTCGAGATGGATGCACCCAACCCCTCCTGCCATGTCTGCTCCCGGGTAAGAAACGCCCCCTCCAACGCACCCTCGTCTGCCGGAGCGCGCGCTCTATCTACCAGTTCTTTTAGTGTGCTGTGGGATACTCATCGCACGTGCTGGCCCAGGCATGCTTGCATCCATTCCCCATGTCTCTCCCCGCCCAACCACCCATCCATCCACCCACCCAGCTGTCAGCCGCTGCACGGTGCATTTCGTGTGTTACCCGCCTGTCTGCTGATCGGCTTCACTACGAATGCCGTTTCTCTGCATGGCTGGAACCTGAGAATGCGCTTTGTTCCAATAGAGCAGCACACGGGTACCATTTGCAGCACAATTTCATTCTCCCGCTCGCCTTTCCTTCCCACTCCAGACCCACCACCACCCTCCCGGCACCCATCTAAACGCCTCTGGTGCAAGAGGTGAGCACCAAGACAGCGACGCTGGCAGATGTGGTGGAGGGCGTGGTGCGGCGGCAGCTGTGGTCATACCTTGCAATCGGCGTTCCGTATTCGAAAGGAATGTTGCTGCTTTTTTTACCCCCAAACCCACTGTTTTCCCCTCCGCATCCATCCACCCCAGACGCCTCTGGTTCTGGAGCTAGACACCAAGACAGCGACACTGGCAGATGTGGTGGAGGGCGTGGTGCGGCGGCAGCTGTCAGCCACCCAGCCCATGGTGATGGTGGGCAGTGGACTGGTGTACGAGGAAGGGGAGGACCTGGAGGAGGATGAGGTGCTGCGATACTGCAAGAACCTGAGCAAGGTGAGAGGCATGGCGAGGGGGAGGAGAGAGGAAGGGAGGAGATGGGGGGGGGGGAGGAACTGGGTGGTGAGTAGGATGCGGGGATGAGGTGCGTGTGGTTGATTGTGATGGTGGGCAGTGGACTGGTGTATGAGGAAGGGAGGACCTGGAGGAGGATGAGGTGCTAACCTGGGCAAGGTGAGAGGCATGGCGAGGGGGGATGGGGGGGGTGTGGGAGTTGAGTAGGAGGCGGGATCAGCTGCGTGGTTGATGGTGATGAGGGGTGTACGAAAAAGGGGAGGCTATTTTCCAGTCGACTCAAAAACAGGATCAGCTGAGTGGTTGATGGTGATGAGGGGTGTACGAAAAAGGGGAGGCTATTTTCCAGTCGACTCAAAATCAGGATCAGCTGAGTGGTTGATGGTGATAAGGGGTGTACGAAAAAGGGGAGGCTATTTTCCAGTCGACTCAAAAACAGGATCAGCTGAGTGGTTGATGGTGATGAGGGGTGTACGAAGAAGGGGAGGACTTGGAGGAGGTTTGAGGTTCTGCGATACCGGGCTAACCTCAGCAAGGTGAGAGGCGAGGGGAAAGAGAGAGGAGAGGGGGGGAGAAGGGGGGAGAGGGATTGAGGACGGGAGTTGAGCAGGGGGCTTTACTGCCTTGATACCCTTCAGCACATCCTTCTTGCATCATTGCAGTGTATGCCTTGCATGTAGCAAGTGTACTGTGTTCCTTATGTGTCCACACACACACACAAAGCACTACCATCGACATGCCTTTGTCTGTGCCCCCCCAACCATGTGTCTGCACTTGCATGCATGCACACACCCATTACCATCCCCTGTGTCCATCCACACCCACCCCCACCCAACCCCACCCATCCACACCCATCCACACCCATCCACACCCATCCACACCCATCCCCTTGCATGTTCATGTGAGCAGAAGCTGTGCGAGCTGCCCACGCCAGTGACCTCAGGGGCAGTGCTGACAGTAGAGGACTACCTGCAGCACTTCAAGTGCTCCATTCACATCAAGCACAGGTGCGACCGCCACCAGCCCAGACACAGGTGGGCACGCCAAGCATGCCATTGCACATGCTAGGTCCCTTGCGCTCGGGAGCAGTGCTGACAGTAGAGGACTACCTGCAGCACTTCAAGTGCTCCATTCACATCAAGCACAGGTGCGACCATCAACAACCCAAACGCAGGACTGCATGCCCACAGCCCCGCAGGTGTAGCACTACACGTCAAGGACCTGTCAGCCTGCTCGGGTTGGCAGCTCTTCATTCTCTTGCACGTCCTGACTCTTGTGGCTGGTTTGTTTGCTTCCCTTGGAACCATTCGACACGTGCTGCCAAAGGCGGGAAGTGCAGTGCCATGCCATGGAGTGTTATGCATTTGTTACACTGTTGTTTCAACATACGTTTGAATCGTAACTCTCCGCGTCACATCCGCGTTTGCTTCACGTGACTACAGAGAAGATATCAACGAGGAGGATCATCCAGACAAAATGATTCTGCACGGCCAGTTGCCAGCAGCAGACACCACTGCTGCTGCTGGGGAGGCTGGAGCAGCAGAGGCACAGAACGGGGAGAAGAAAGAAGGGAACGCGGCAGGAGGGGAGGATGATGACGATGACGATGATGACGTGGTTCTATTTGAACCTGATGCTGCTGCTGCTGCTGCTGGTGCTGGGGAAACGGTTGGTGAGAAGAGGAAGAGGCGGCGGGAGGAAGAGAAGGGGGCAGAGAGCGCCGGAGGGGGTGATGGCACTGGGAAGAAGGTGAAGGTGGATGTGGTGGAGGTTCTGGATGACTAGCAGCGGAGGTGCCATGTGGTGAGTCGCGTGTTACTGACAGACCGGATTTCGAGCTAGACTCAAGAATGGCCGGAGGGGGTGATGGCACTGGGAAGAAGGTGAAGGTGGATGCGGTGGAGGTTCTGGATGACTAGCAGCGCTGCATAATGGCAAGTTGCGTGTTACTGACAGACCGAATATTGAGTTGACTCAATAATTGCCGAAGGAGGCAAAGGATATGGTATCGCGATGGCGCGGGGAAGATGGTGAAGGTGGATGTGGTCGAGGTTCTGGATGAATAACAGCGCTGCCTTGTTGCTACGGTAATTGTGCATGCAACTTGCACACCAAGTTCGAGCAAGTATTCTGCTCTGGTTTCCTGTGCACACGGAATACACATCTTGAAACATTTTTTTTTGTTCTGTTGTATTTCTTTCCTGCCCTACCTGAAAAATGATCATTGAGAAGAGGTGCATTATATTTTCCAGGACTCTTCAGTCTCGCGGTACACCCAGTTTCGACGGGCTGCAGTGTTCCCGCTATAAGCAGTGCACATTTGCCTGTAACGAGTCCTCACTGCCTGGTCAACGCTGTTATCCCCCCCTCCCTCCAGAATAATCTCTGCATGAATTCCTCCATTGCCCCACCGTATACTGCGGCCACCGAGTCGTCGTCACTAGGTGTTTGGCCCTTAGGAGAAATCGCTGTAAATCAATAAGAGAGTGACAAATAAAGTGACCCTTGATTTTCTGTTTACTCCTTCAACCGTTCTTGTTTCTCATTCCGTGATTCGCGTCAAGTGCCGCCAGGCTACTAGTGTCTACTTGGCAATTTTTCTCAAACGGCTATTTTCTCGTTTTCAAAGACGCTGCTAAATCTCTGTGCAGCATTCTCGCTGAAATAAGGCTCTCGCTTAGGGCCTCCTTCCTTGCCGAATTAATCCCTCCGCGTCGCACCCCGCGTTGTACGAATTCAACAAAGCTGGCCTTTTAACTCCCTCGACCCTCCATGGCATTTGCCTTGGCTCACCGCGGTGGCGGCTCGGGCCCGCATTTACGGGCCTTGCATTCCCTCACGGCTGCGAGTTCATTCCCGTTGCATCAGAGATTTGATTCGTCCCAGGATTCTCGATCGTATCCTGTCGCCGCTGTCAGCACCGTCTCGTGTCGCCTGATGTCGCAGCTGCGTGTCTCATCGTTTCGCGGTCGCATGGCGCCTGCGACAACGTCGCTTCAATCGCTGCCGTCGCTGCGTTCGCACACAAGCTCGTTTCGGGATTCCGCAGCAGCCCTCTCTGGACCAATCGCGTTTCGGCACGTGGAAAAGCCTTTGGCAGGGCGGCTAATCAGGCCCTGGGATTGGAACGTTACCGGAGGAGGTACGGAGAAGAGAAAGGGGGGAACTGAGGGGAGGGAGGTCAAGGTGGGGGGAAAGGGCGGGTTGGGAGAAAGGAAAGTGGAAAGGGGTAAAGGGAAGAGGAAAGTGGGGGCGAGTGATAGAGGGGGGAAATAAGGGAGTGATAGGGAAGGGGATGGGGGGAGGGAGAGGGAGGAGGAGGAAGTAGCATGAAGACAGAGGACGGGTTTTTGAGAATTTTAGAAAGGGTCCTAGGCAGGCTCCTAGGGGTGGGAAGAAAGACCTCGTTCCCCTAGCTCTCTTTCGCCCTATACCCCTTACCTTTCCCCTGCTCTGAGAGAGGTGACTTTTGAATCGACTGAAAAGAGGAGAAAGAAAGAAGAAAAAAAAATGGCAGTCAGTCCAGCTCATCTGTCTTTTCCATCCCTCTCTTCCACTGCCTTTCTCCAGGCACCGGCATGAGCGCCAGCAGCAGCAGGCGTGGCAGGAACGCGCATGGGCGGTGTGAGGCGAGGGAGGGGGGCGTGGAGGAGGGGGTGCGAATGGTGGCGAGAGAGGGAGGTGGGAGCAGCGAGGGGGAGAGGAGTGGCAGCAGCAGCAGGGGTGTTCTTGCGAGCAATAAGAACGGCGGCAATAGCACCAGCACCAGCACCAGCACCAGCACCAGAACCAGCACCAGCAACGGCAGCAACGGCAGCAGCAATGGAAGCAGCACCAAAACCAGCACTAGCAGGAGCATGAGCAGTGGGGCCGGGTGGCACAGTGAAATGGGTTTGGATGACGAGCATCCCCTGGCAGGTGAACAGGCAATGAGCAGGTGAGGCAGCAGCAACAGCAGCACTAACAGCACTAACAGCACTAGTAGCACTAGCAGCATGAGCAGCATGAGCAATGGGGGCGGGTGGCACAGTGAAATGGCTTTGGATGACGAACACCCTCCTGCAGGTGAACACCCCTCCTCATCCCCCCCTCCTCCTCCTCTTCCTCCTCTCACGTTGCCCAAGCACCAAACACAAGCACACTCAGCCCAGTGTCTCCTCACTTCCCCCTCCGCGTGTAGTGAGTCGAGTTTTGAGTCGACTCAAAACTTGACTCAGCCCAGAGTCTCCTCACTTCCCCCTCCGCTCTTCCCATTTGCCCTTCCACCTTTTCTCCCTTCCGCCTCAACCCCCCTTCCGTTCCGCCAGTCGCCCCCTCCGCTCTTCCCCCAGGCGGCAGCAGCATAGTGTCATGGGATGGGACACATTTGATGCGTTGCACAGGGCAATGGGCATTCATTCATGTCCCCCAGGGCACAGCACAGGGCGCTATGCTGGAGTGGTGCAAGCAACCTCTGCTGCCATGCCATGTTGGTGTTACATTTGAGAATCTTCAAAAGTAACACCATCATGGCTGTAGAGGGCGTTTATGTCCCCCAGGGCACAGCACAGCACAGGGCGTGCTGTGCTATGTTGCAGTGGTACAACCTCTGCAGCCTGCGCTGCGGCCATGGGTGGCACGTAGGCATGTGTGCTGCAGCAACCCAGCGCATTCCCTTTCCCCCTTCTTCCCCCTTCCGCCTGCCCCTTCCGCCGTCTCTCCCCATGACCCCCAGGCGGCATAGTGGCGTTGGGCAAGCTTGATGCGTTCCATGTGGGGCACATGAGTCAGCACCTTCCCCCTCATGGACCCCTCCCCCGTCCCCCTCCCCCCATGCCCCCCAGGCGGCATAGTGGCGTTGGGCAAGTTTGATGCGCTGCATGTGGGGCGAATGCATGTTGCATCAAGCCAAGTCCCGCCCCCCGCCCCTTTTTCCAACCCTCCGCCCTCCTCCCCCCATGTTCCCCAGGCGGCATAGTGGCGCTGGGCAAGTTCAATGCGCTGCATGTGGGGCACAGGGTGCTCGCAGTGCAGGCAGCAGCCATGGGGGGCATATGCGTGTGCTACCAAAAACCAGCCCGTCCCCTTCCCCTCTTCCTCCCTTCTTTTCCCCCTTTCCCACCTCCCACCCTTCCCCTCTTCCCCCATTCCTCTCCCCCGTCCCCCGTGCCGCTTCCCCCTTCCCCCTTCCCCCATACCCCCAGGCGGCATAGTGGCGCTGGGCAAGTTTGACGCGCTGCATTTGGGGCACAGGGCGCTCGCAGTGCAGGCAGCAGCCATGGGCGGCACATGCGTGTGCATGCTGTCGTTTGCCGGCATGGCCGAAGTGCTGGGCTGGGAGAAAAGGTGCGTGCGTGCGTGCATGTGTGCTGTGCGTCCCCTCCCCCTCTCTGTTGTTCTCATTTGTGCTTTCTGAGTCAGAATGCGCAGGGATGTGTGCCACATGGAAAGCACTTGTGAGAATTCTCAAAAGTGATTTCCACACAGGGATGTGTGCATGCTGTCGTTTGCCGGCATGGCAGAGGTGCTGGGGGTGGGAAAAGTAGTGTGGTGTGTCTCTCTGTCTTGAGCTGCTTTCTGTGTCAATTGGCTGGTTTCTGATTTTCAATCATCAGCCTTTGATCTCATTAGTCCTTATGCTGCTTCCCGATCTCGACTTAAACTGGCTCGTTCTGAGTCAACCGAAACTGTTGTTTGAGATTAGTCAGTCAAAACTCCTTTTTTTTTTTTTTTTTTTTTTTTTGCCTATTTCAGTCCTGCCCCCTGCATCATTGCACTCTTTCCCCCCTCCACTTCTTCCGCCCTTTTCCCCTTCCCCCCGCTTCCCCCCTGGTGGCCCCCTGTGATCGCACATGGGTGCTGCAGCTGTGGCAGCCATACTGCCAGCTGCAGCCCACCCTTCTGCATGCTCGCATATCTGCTTCTTCTCACCCTGTCCCCAGCACCATTACCCTCGTCCTTCCTCCCTTCCCCCCGCGTCCTCAGGCTCCCCCTGGTGGCGCCCTGTGATCGCAAGAGGGTGCTGCAGCTGTGGCAGCCATACTGCGAGGGCCAGCCCATCTGCGAGTTCTTTCTGGACTTTGCGCTCATTCGCTCGCTCTCCCCGGAGGACTTCATTGTGCTGCTGGCGGAGCAGCTAAGAGTGAAAGGGATCGTTGCAGGTGGGCTTTTTGGGTTTGGGAGTTGGGGTTTAGAAAGTTAGACAGAAGGGGCGCGGGGGAAAGGGAGGGGTTCTTTCTGGACTTTGCGCGCATCCGCTCGCTGCCCCCGGAGGATTTCATTGTGCTGCTGGCGGAGCAACTCCGAGTGAAAGGGATTGTCGCAGGTGGGGTGGGGGCATCATAGGGTCTTGGTTCGTTGCTTGCAAATGCTTGCTCTCCCCGGGAGATTTCATCGTGCTGCTGGCTGAGCAGCTGCGGGTGAAAGGGATCGTTGCAGGTGCGCGAGTATAGAGATCGTTGCAGAGATAGAGAGCGAGAGAGGCATTGCCCGGGGGTCGAGGTTTGGGTATTGGTTTTTGGGGGGTATTGGGTTTTGGGGCTAGACAGGAAGCATGGCTGGGGGGAAGAGAGGGTAACCTTTGTATGTTCTTTGGCCTCGATCTCTCCCCATTTGCAACCGCCTTCCTGCCTCCGCTTCCCCCTGACCCCTCCCCCCCCCTCCTCGGCTTTCCCCAGGATCGAACTACCGGTTTGGGTTCAGAGCAGCAGGCACAGCGAGCGATCTGGTGGCACTGGGGGCGAAGCACGGGCTGCATGTGATGATCGTGGATACTGTCACAGACGCCCATGCCCACATGCACACTGACGTGCTTGCTGACTCCGATGTCCCTGCCCCTGCTGCTGCTGGTTCTGCTGCCGGTGCCGCTGCTGCCGGTGCTGCCGGTGCTGCTAGTGCTGTGGCTGGTGACAGTGCAACCGCAGCAACAGCAGCAGCATCAGAAGCAGAGGAGGAGGAGACGCACGTGTCGAGCACGCGGGTGCGGCAGCAGCTGTGCGAGGGCAACGTGGAGGCCGTGGCAGTGCTCATAGCGCGGCGTCACCGCATTCTCGTCTCGCTCTCCGCCTCCTCCCTCTCCTTCTCATCGCACGCCGCCTGGGGTTCCACTCAAAGCGCTGCTTCAGAGAGTAGTGCTGGCATGAGTAGTGTCAGCAGGAACAGCGGCGGCGGCGGCGGCGGCAGCAGCAGCAGCAGCAGCAGTGGTGGTGGTTGGCAGATGACAGTGGAACGGCAGGATCTCCTGAACCTAGCACCAGGGGAGGGCAGGTTCAAGTGCAGGGTGCTAGCACATGATGATGACGAGGAGGGGGAGGATGGGCGCCGGCACAGGGACGTGCTGGTGGGGGAGGGGGAGGTGGAGGTGGGGGATGTGCATCTGAGGGTGACGGTGCAGCGTGCTGTGCTGCCAGTGGGGCAGCTGCACAGATGGACGTGCCTCATGCTCGAGATCTGATTTGATCCTGGAGATCTGTTTCGGCCGGATGCTTCAGATGGGCTGCTGTTGCTGTTGTGGCGGTTTAATGGCCGGCGTGTTTGGTGAAACGCTCTAAAAACTTTCATTGAAGCAATACAATACACCTATCTACAACGGGTAAACTGCATGCATGAATGTGCATGCATGGGAGGGAGTTCAGTTGCCATGCTGGGGTGGGGTGGGGACTAACAGGATTGCAGCAGCATGTGCTGAAACAACTCTTCACTTGTGGTCTTTGACATAAATGTATTAGTGCCATCACCAGTCATGAGAAAGCAACTCAAAGATAACTCCAACCACATTTGCCATCACATCTACAATTGGATAATCATCCAACCACACTCGTAAGCACCCAAGCCAGAGATTGCCTCGTCTCCCCCCCTCTCCCCCCCCCCTCTCTTCCCCCCTCCTCTTCCCCCCTCCTCTTCCCCCCCGGAGCATCATACCATAACATGTGTTAATGTTAGCCCTCAATCTCACTTTTGTAATTGTACTTTTTCTATCCTACTTTAGTGTAGTTTGCACTTGTGTTTGGTTGGGTGTACACCCACATCCCAACCAAACCCAAATGTGATCTCCAAGCAATCTCCAACCCACCAATTGGAGATTGCCTTGGGATTACCTCCAATTTCCTAGGATTGTCCCCGATTCTCTCCCCACCCTTACCTTGCCCATTTCCAATGTATTAAAAGAGCCTTGAGCTCATTACTAATTCATGGATTCTAAGCTCAAGTTCTAACCAGGGCCTATTTATCAAGGGTAAAACACACTGATTACACTTACCAACGGCCATTATTTAGGGTTTACCCTGATTTTGTAAGCCCATTTTACCGGTCACCCTTGCTGCAAAAGTGTAGACTTACAATGTAGGCTGATTTTGCCAGGGTACCCTAAGTTTTAGCGGTGCCAGACAGAGTACAAGGAAAAATGTACTGAACCAGGAAATCACAAGCTGTTGGGATCTGATTTTTGTCGCGCCTCTGTTAAGACTAAGGCAAGGATGATGAGATTAGGTCAAGGCTGGGGTACAAGACTAGAGTGTCGAGAAAGTTTCTGTACCCCCTAAGGCTAGCCCCAATATAGCCTAGATACAAATATGCATATGTTTTGACACACCCCCATAGGCGAAATGGGGGATAGCCAGAGCAAGCAGTGGTCACAAGACCAGCCAAGAGAAGAAACAAAACACAGCTCAGGGTGGATCACAACGTCACCATACACACTGAGCACAAGCAAATGGCCACAAGGCCAGTCCACATGCAGAGGTATATAAGCAACAAGAACAGCACAGTGATCTCTACCTAGCAAGAGCAAGCATGCAGGCATATATATATATAGATCACAGTACAAGCAGAGACTACAGCAAGTGTGGAAACGTAGGCACAAGGCCCAACAAAGTACAAAAGCGCTGATGGTCACCAGACGGAAGTGCCTTGGTGAATATATCAGCAGTGTTGGCCCGAGTGGCCACGTGAGCAAGGCGAAGCTGACCCCGCTGCTGTAACTCTCGAGCCAGGAAGTAACGCAGAGCGATGTGTTTCGTTCTGTGCTCCAGTTTGTGCTCCTGACACAAGGCAATGGCGGCCTTGTTGTCCACGTACAGAACTGGAGGAGAACGAGGCCGCTCTCCCAGGTCGGTCAGCAGGTAGGAGGGTCAGCGTAACTCCTGTGCAGCCATGGTTGTGGCGTAGATCTCAGCCTCACAACTGGAGCTTGTGAGGATCTAGGATCGAGCTCAGAAAAGAGAATTGTAATTGATTGATTCACCTGGGTACAACACGAGGCTATGCACCTAACCTAGGAAATCAAGCATATCTATGCATGATAAATAAAACCCAAGCTAGATATAGCATAAGCTGTCGTACTCTCACACGTCCTCCCCTCAAAGCTGGGTGGAGTGAGAAACACCCTGCTTGACAAGATAGTCCTTGAGAGCACGGCGTGCGTTGCCCATATCAGCTTCTGCAACCCAACTGTCCTCAGTGGGGTCATATCCCTTCCAGCGTATCAGGAACTCGAGGGTCTTGCCGCCGCGGCGCCGATGAGTGAGAACGCGTTCCACTTCGTACTCTGGTTCATCCTGGATGAGAATAGGTGGTGGTGGCGGTAGCTGCCGTCCCTGGAACTGTTGGTTGGGGTCCTTGTAGGGTTTCAGTAGCTGAACATGGAAAGCGTTGTGAAGCTTCCATGTATCTGGTAAACGCAAGTGGAATGTAACTGGTGTCACCTGTGCCTCAACGAGAAAAGGACCACAGAAGCGAGGCCGGAGCTTGGATGGTAGGTGAGACGAGTTCAAGTTGCACGTGTCAAGAAGCACCTGATCTTCGACTGCTACTAAGTGATCTCGTCGCTGACGATCGGCATACTGCTTCTGGGAGTTCTGCATCGTGGTGAGATGTCGCTGATTCTTCTCCCATAGCTGCTGCATGGTGGTGACGAAGTCATGTGCGGCTTGGACATGTGCCGGTGTGGTTGGCTGCTGTGGTGTGAGTGGTTCCCGTCCGTAACACAGGAAGAAAGGAGTTTTCCCTGTGGCCGCATGTGACGCGTTGTTGTAAGCGAACTCTAGGGTCGGTAACTGTGTGTCCCAGTGGCTGATGTCGTCTTTGCAAGCTGTGCGCAGTTTCTGTTCAACCACTTGATTGAATCGCTCGGTCTGTCCGTCAGTCTGTGGGTGGTATGCTAAGGACATCGCAAGTTTAGTCCCCAATAATCCCATGAGCTCCTTCTAGAACGTACTCGTGAATTTGGGGTCTCTGTCTGAGATGAGTGTAGCGGGGATGCCGTGGATGGTGATGATGCGGTCGAAGAAGAGGCGAGCAGTTGCTTCAGCTGTAGCTGTGGCGTTGGTCGGTATAAAGTGACCCATTTTGGAGAACATATCGATGACTACGAGGATGGAATCATGTCCCCGTGAGGTCGAAGGAAGTCCTGTGATGAAGTCGAGGCTAGCGACCTGCCATGGCTGCTCTGGTATAGGTAGAGGCTGAAGTAACCCTGCTTTTTTCTGCTTGCTGCTCTTCATCCGCTGGCACGTGTCGCAAGAGGTGACGAACTGCTGCACGTCTGCTGCCATCCCGGGCCAGTAGGTCGTCTATGCGCGGTATGGGGTATTTGTTCTTGACTGTCTGTTTGTTCAGTGCGCGGTAGTCGATGCACATCCGTAAACTGCCGTCTGGTTTTGGAGTGAAGAGAACCGGTGCACCGTAGGGAGAGGTGGATGGGCGGATCAGTTGTCTGTCCAGTAGATACTCTGTCTGTTTCTTCATGTCTGTCAGTTCAGTTGGACTCAGTCGGTATGGTGCACGTGAGACGGGTTTCGCACCTGGTTCCTCCACGATCTCGTGCTCGTGGGTGCGTGCTGGAGGTATGTCTGCAGGTAGGTCGTCGGGCATTATGTCCTTGTACTGCTCCAAGACCTCCTTCACTGCTGCAGGTAGCTCCGTACTCAGCTTCTCCTCCTCTGCCGCTGCCATAACCAGTGCTAAGTAACCCGTGTTACTCTCGTTCACTGTCCGTTCGAACCGTGCCAGTGTCGTTTCAGGAACGCTCCCTGTATCTGTCCAACTTCGCAGCTCCACCCGTTTCCCGTTGTTGTAGATGCACGCCTTCCTGTTGATCCAGTCGATCTCGGGGTTGAACCGCTTCAGGAAATCTCGCCCCAAGATGAAATCTAAACCCTTGATGTTCGTGATCGGCAACGTCGGCTTCCACCTCAGCGCCCCTATGTGCAGCTGCAGTGATGCTTCGCCGTGGATGGGAAGTTTCGTACCGTCCACCATCGTTGCCGTGAACTTGGTCTCCTCCGAAGGTTCTCCAATTTTCTCCAATGTCCCGTGGTCGCACACCGAGTGAGACGCACCGCTGTCCACCAGTGCCTGGAGGCGTCGCCCGTTGCAGATTGTTAAAACAGTTCTAGAACCTAGGAGGCATGGAAACCTTAGGTGCTAGGAAGGGGGTTAACGAAAGTGTCGAGAGGAGAAAGTTGGCCAAAGAAGAGGGGTTCAATAATAGCAAAGAGATACAACATATAGTCAAGAAACTAGAGGTGCACCACCAAACAGAAGACAAGATAAATACACTACACTTAAACCACAAGCAGTTACATAAAATAACTTTGACACGCCCCCATAATTGCTTGTGGGAAGAAGTGTAGTTATCGCCCCCTGAAGGGGTACACCAGGCAGAGTGCGCAGCAGAACGGGAGAGGGCAGGCTAGGAGGAGGAGAGAGAGAGAGGGAGAGAGAGGAGAGGAGGTGGTAGGCTGCGGCTGAAGCTACTGGCCCACTGGCGACTGGAGCAACTGAGAAGAAACGAGGAATGAGAATGACTAAGTGAAAGTTGGGTACAAGAACCAAACCCTAGAAAACTGTACCCCATATGTGCTACCCCACTATAGCCTACAGTAGCTATGTCATATAAATCTGACACACCCCCATAGGCACAGTGGGGGAGAACAAGGGGTCACAAGACCAGTCAAGCAAAGCAAAGCAAAAACAAGCTCAGGGTGGATCACAAAGTCACCACACATTCCGAGCACAAGTTCAAGGCCACAAGGCCAGTTCACAAGCAGGAGTACACATATATATAAAAAGGCTAGACAAACAAGAGCAGGTATATATATATGTAACAGTACAAGCAAGGTCAAGAGGTGAGCAAGTGAGGCAAGGTAGGCACAAGGCCCAGCTGAGTACAGAAGCGCTGATGGTCACAAGGCGCAAGTGCCTTGGTGAAGATATCAGCAGTGTTGGCCTCAGAGGCCACGTACGCAAGACGCAGCTGACCACGCTGCTGCAGCTCACGAGCAAGAAAGTAGCGGAGAGCAATGTGCTTCGTTCTGTGCTCCAGTCGATGCTCCCGACACAAGGCCAGCATGGCCTTGTTGTCTACGTACAGCACTGGAGGAGAACGAGGCAACTCTCCGAGGTCAGTCAGCAGGTAGGTGAGCCAGCGAAGCTCCTGTGCAGCCATGGCTCCTG